GTTTGGTCACTAATCTGAGTTTCATGATTCAGATCCGTTTTCTGATCCTCTTCAGAGTTTGGTATATTTTCGTTTTCCTTCTCTGTCATCTTGCTCTCACAGCTTTCATTTTCATTTTTGGTGGATTCCTCCGGGTCAGTTTCCTTTTCCTCCTCTTTATCTTCATTTTCCGAGGTTTCTTTTTCCACGTGACCATTTTCTGGATCAGATTTTGACGTCTGCTCTTCTTCTTCCTCTTTAACATCGACCTCGCTGCCTCCTGCTTTCACACCGTTCTCTTTGACATCTGTTGCATTTTCTACCATTGTGTCTCCACTCCCGTCCAGTGAGCTGCTCGAATCCCCTGCTGTGACTTCTGTCTGTGATGCTGCGCGTCTATCCGGGTGAGGTACAGACTCCTCTTCACAGCTGAGAGCCTCTCGACCCTCTGAGGACTCTGCTGTCATCTCCTCTGCCTCCGCGTCATCCAACGCTGCTTTTTCAACCGCCCTTTTATCCAGTTCTGACGTCGGTGATTCCTTCAGCTCACCTGTTTCTGCCTCTTGTCCCGTCTCCTGTGGCTGCGCGTCGACTTCAACTGCATCTGCATCTGAGGAGTTCCTCTTATTTTCTTCATCGTCTGGTGCAGGGTTCTCATCACTGCACGCCGCTGAGGCCTCCTGAGGTTCGGAAGTTTGGCTGTGTTCTGTCATCTCTGCAGCTTCTTGTTCCTCTGGTGCAGGGTTCTCATTCCTCTCCTCTTCCAGGACTGTCTCAGCTTTAACACAGTCACTGTCCTCGTCCTGGTCTTCTTTGGTCTCGCCCTGTGGTTCTGGCTCCTGGTCTCGACCCACTGCAGCTCCGTCGCCTTCATCACTGGCCTCACATTTAGTTTCTTCTTCAAATGTCACCGACTTTTCTTTTACTGCATCTGGAAAACAAATAAAAAGTAATCAACCTTTTGTAAAATCGTCAGCTGATTTCAAGTTAAAGTAACAAAAAAACCCTCTTACCATCGCTGTGTTCACTCCGGTCGTACGACGTCTCCCTTTCACAGTCCACGGGTTTGGACACGGACTCAGTTTCCGCAGTTTCGACAACGTTTTCCTGCACAGATTCAGCTTGAGGTTTGAAGAAGAGACATGGAACAGGCAACGATACGAACAGAGATGGTGTTAGAAACAGGACGAGCCTCTCTTCACACACACACACACACACACACACACACACACACACTGTGGCCGAGGCCTGGTTGAAGCAGCTGTCAGTGATGTCGTCCTCTGGATGCTGTCACATTTAACTCTGTAGTTATTTAAACTTTTTTTTTTTTATCACTGACAGCAGCTCAAATAAAACACAACTGAAGCTGAAGGTACACACTGTACAAATAAAGAACCATGCAGCCAAGCACAACAAAGAAAAACTTTATTTTTCTTGAAGCGAAAATACATATCTAAAAAAAACAAAAAACAAAACATGCAAAATGATAATAGCAGTCCACAGATGGTAACAAAATGAAAAAACACAGCAACACAGGAATAAAGAAAAAACCTGGATGATTAAAAAACGAAGATTGAAAAAAAAAAAACTTAACTAAGACTACTCGTAAAGTTTTACACTGGAAAATGTTTTTACATTAAAATTAAACTCATTTTAATGTGTCTTTGTTATAAGATTAGGTTAATTTGGCACTTTTTAAAATTTTGGTTAATCAAAAGCCTCGTAGATGAAGAGGTAAAACAACTTAAAAAAACTACTCGATGTAACTATTTTTGGAGTAATTAACAGATACTTTTACTCAGCCCTGATTATAAGACGACGTCATAAAAACATATGATGTGAATCAGGCAGAAAAACATTTTACACACAGAAAAAAAACTTCAATTTTTCCACTGACGTGCAAGAAAGTCATTGCACTAAATGTGAATCCAGTGATAATACTATGATAATACTCTGGTACTACAACAGTACTACAACAGTACTACAACAGTACTACAACAGTACGTTGTTGTAACACCGACTTTCTTGTGAAAACAGTGGAAAAACCTGCGTGTTGGACGACCTGATCCGTTCACCTGTGGAGCTGAGCTCCTCTTCCTCGCTCTACTCACCCTTCTCCTCCTCACCTCCCTCCTCTTTACTCCCATCTCCCACTCCCTCGGCTTCATCGTCTCCCACGGTGTCCTCCTCGTCGCGTTGGTGCTCCTGTGCCGTGGGGACGCTAGTGTCACCGATGTTGACCTGTGCGCCCCCTCCTGGAGCGTCCTGTGAAGCTGCAGCAGCAGACTCTCCCTCAGCTGCTGCCGCTTCTTCTTCTTCTTCTGGGTTTGGTTTGTCTTCGTCTTCAACCTCTCCATTCTGCTCCTCCTCCTCCAACGGTGGCTCAGCTTTCATCTTCAACCTCTTCATTCTGCTCCTCCTCCAACGGTGGCTCAGCTTTCTCTTCTTCTCTGGAATGGTTTGTACCTTCTTCATCGCTGACCTCCCGCTCACTGTCTGAGCAGCTGGAGCTCGAGTACGACTTGTTTTCTGTTCAGAACACAGAGCGGTTTGAAGTCAGAGCCAGAGTTTCACAGAGAGGATCATGGGAAATACTGTGAAGACAGACAGAATTCCATCCACTCACCGTTCTTCTCCTCATCTTCCGACTCAGACATTTCCTTCTCTTCGGCTTCTTGGTCCGTTTTACCGGACTGAGACGTACATTTATTTTGGTGTTCCTCCTCTGCGGGGCCTTCGTCGTCTGCTTCAAAGTCTTCTTCATAATCTGAAAAAAACAAACAAAATCTAAACACTTACAAAATACTATAAATACCTTGTTGATGCTCAGTGCTTCGTACCTGCTCTGGCTCCACTTTTCTGGATCACCGTCTCCTGTCCTTGACTTTCACAGTCTGTATGTGAAGACGTGTCCGTCCTCTCGGCGTCCTTCACGGGAGTTTCTTTCGGACTGACCACAGATTGGTCACTCTCTGCTTCCTTAACTCTCCTCGGAGGAGGTGTGGGTTTTTTGTCGAGTCCCATTGCTATGATGCACCTGGAAAACGAGTCACGATTTATCCAGAGAAATCCTACATTTATGGTGGTGTATGAAGCAGGAAGAACATTGGTGAATTTCACGTTTCAAGTTTTCCAGGACGACTCACTTGTAGCAGGGGGAGGCCGCCTCCACACCGACGAAGCCAAAGTGGCCGTGCCTGCCGCCCAGTCTGGAGCCCTTCCTGTGCTTGAACTCGCAGCAGGAGCTGAGTCGCTCCACCTGCAGGCCGTTCAGGAAGAAGGTGAGGCTGAAGGGGAAGCCTCTGTGTCGTCTGGAAATGAACTGGAAAGACTCTGGGAGAGAAAGACGAGACGAGGATTGAATCATCTTCATCATCTTCATCATCGTCATCATCTGCAGTCGTTCATCAGACCCTGGTCCCGTCAAACCCACCTCCTTCGTGGAGTTTGCCCTTGTACACACACAGGTTTTCTCCTCCACAGTGCTGCTGGAACACCTTCACCTCGTCCCTCAGGTCCAGCAGGTCGTGGGTGAGATGAACACTTTTCCCATAATACACCATGTTCACCGTCACTCTGCTCTGATGCACAGAGCTCCTCATCAGAGGGGGATCCTGGGAAGAAGAAGGGTTTTTTTTCAGGAATATTTTAACCCCTAAAAACCATTCATTTGTCAGAAACAAACTAGAAAAGTCTAATTTTTTTTTTTTTGGCTTCCTCCCAATGTACAACATTATATGTGTGTAACAAAAATTTTAGGCTAAGTTGAAAATTATTTTCCAGTCAATATTTCTGTGCTAACTTTTTAAATATCTGTTGTTTGTATTTTATGATTTTAGGTTTGGCTGTTTCTGTATTTTTGGTTTGCATTAATTCATATTTACGTTTCTACATTTCTTACTTCTGAACTTTTCTGACTTTGAAAAAAAAAACCAAAAAAACTTAAAAGTTAAAAATTGGAATGTCAACCACGATGTGTTCTTTGAGACATTTGAACTGACAGTGTAACTGGTTCAGAACCTCCATGACGTCAGCTCCACTGGTGGCCGTGGTGGGACGCAGCCTGCGGCGTCGGGTGGTCCCGCTGGCCGTGACCTTTACCCCCCTCTCTTTCCTCTTTGTGACTGGGGGCACGGGGGTGACAAAATTGTTGATGACGGGGAGGCAGTAGGGAGAGACGCCGTCGGAGTTCTCCTTTGTTGTCAGAAGTTTACGGGTCTCCTTGTCCATCTGGGAGGAGACGGGGACAGACGGGGACAGACGGGGACAGTGATGCTGCTGTTAATTTAGGAATGAGAGAACATTCCGTGTGAATCTTTAATGTCACCGCCTCACCGTGCCGTTGAACGTCTGCTCATTCTCATTGCAGGAGTCGAGCGGTCGGAACGGAGAGCTGCGTCTGAGCGAAGCTGTGGTGCCGTTGCTGTGGATCGGTTTGAGACGCACGGGTCTCTGCATCTTCCCCGGAGCTGTGTTTGGACGAGACGATCCCGGCTACAGCACACACACACACACACACACACACACATGGTGTAAACAAATGTGATCTTGAGGTGTGTTGGAATCGGCCGTCGTGTCAGAGAGAGGAGGTGACACTCACAGACTCGGAGGATTCAGAGAGCGCCCCCTCTGGCCCTGAGTGCTGTTTCCTGAAGCCCCTGGCTCCTGTGGGGGGACGTGGGGACAGGATGCGGATGATGTCCTCTTCATACCGTCTGGAGCGCTCCAGCTTCCAAACAAGACCATTTTAGAACTTCAGACGACTAGACATAGATCAAACTCAGGCCCGGGGGCCAAATCTGGACCGCCTTATAATTATATTTGGCCCGTGAGATCATATCAAACGTGTACTAGGGTTGAGGCAGGATTTGTAGTATTAGTGGTGTACGCACTATGTTATAGCACATACTTTTAGTTTTTTTGTCTGTGAAAAACACATTTACATTAAAAAAGAACAAAATACCACTGATGTTTGTTTGTTTTCACATTTAAAGTCTCATGTGTTTATAATATTAAGCTTTGGTCATTCCAGATTCAATGTTTACGCAGAAAAATCTAAATTACAGATCTGGAGAGAAAGGAAAACATGAACAATTACAGACAATTTTTTAATAAATCTTAAGTTTGTTTTTCGAGACTACAGACAATTTAAATTCAATAAATGTTAAGTTTGTTTTTCGAGACTTGGTCTCAGTTTTTAATTTCGGCTCTGACTTTGACAGCCCTGTCTTGTATGTTTGATTCTTTTCATTCATAATGGATGAATGGTCACCGGCCCAGGTGACGACGCGGTGACATTTACATGTAAATGCTGTACCTTGATCTTGTGCACTCTCTCCCTTCTTGCAAACTCCTCCAGTTTCCTTTTGATCTCGATTTGATGAAGACGCTGCGTGGCAAAGGGACGGGACAAACTGACGTCATTTATTATGCAGGAAGAAGCCCTCATTAACCCGGAGCGGCTGTATTTGTCTCCGGGCCGTGGTGCTTTTGTTTTTGGCTCTCACCTCCATCTCCAGCACCTTGTGGAAAATGGCCTGGGCGAGACATTCGTGGACGTGTCTCTGCTGAGCCTTCTGGATCAGCTTGTGTCTGTACTCTTTGTTTGGGACGATACGCCCGCTGCGAGTGATCTGGAGACAAAGGCAGGGTCAGCAGAGGTCAGTCGGTGTTTTCAGACTAAGGTCACGAGGAATTATTTTAATGTTTCCCCTCAGTTCTTGATGTTTTTTTTTACATTTATCGTTTTGTACAGCAGTCGTCCCCAACCACTGGGTCAGGGGCCAGTACTGGACCACGGATCGTTCGGTACCAGGTCACATAGAGGTGACCACACTAATCTGAGGGACTAATCCGAAAACCTACTGTATGTGACACATGATGCTACAACTATTTAGCTTTGAGGACAGCATAAAAGTCAAAATGTCAAAATGTTGTTTATGTTTACAAAAGTGTGAGTTAAAACATTTAGTTTCATATTTCTTTCTTCCTTAATTAAATTAAATTAAATTAAATTTGTTTCTTCCTTAATTAAATTACGTTAAATTAAATTAAATTAAATTAAATTAAATTAAATTAAATTAAATTAAATTAAATTAAATTAAATTAAATTAAATTAAATTAAATTAAATTAAATTAAATTAAATTAAATTAAATTGACAAATAAAATGACTTGAAATTAATCAATCAGCCAATGATAATTCAGCAAAACTTTTACACCTGGGTAGTGGACATCAGTTAACGCCTTGTACTCACTGTTTATTATTATTATTATTATTATAATCAGATGGAAATGTTTTAACTGCATGAAGTCAAAGAGCTCTAATTAAATCCTCATCCTCATCCTCATCATCATCACCCCCAACATCATCATCATCATCCTCATCATCATCATCATCGTCATGGTGGTGGTGGTGGTGCGGCCTCACCAGGCCGGCTCTCTGCAGGTGTCTCCTGATCCGGGTGTTGCTGAAGTATCCGGCCAGGTGTTTGTCAGTCAGACTGTTGTAGGCTGACAGCAGTCTGCAGGACAAGGACAAACAGGTCTCAGCAACAGCCAACGCTCTCAGACGACGGTCCTTATCCACCACTAGAGTTTCTAGATGGAGCTACTTGATTACAGCCGAAACCAAAACTAGAATCTTAATCAAATGGCTCCCTTGGCTCCAGCTCCGTGTGTGTGTGTGTGTGTTTGTGTGTTTGTTTGTTTGTTGGCATTTTCTCGCCGCCCTCATGAATGAGACATCAGTCGTCTACAGCCAAGGAAGCTGCTATTTTCTTTTCTTTTCTTTTTTTTTTTTTTTCCGACACAGATTTGTTTTCGTCCGACATTTGTCCACGAGACACGAGGATCTATAGGGTCTGTTTCCAGTGTCTGATTACACTGAGGTGCTGACACACTGAACCCACTCTGTCTGAAACTTCACCTCACGTGTGTGTGTGTGTGTGTGTGTCCAGTGCACAAATGTGGAAGCTGAAAGGGATTCTCATGTCCGTGACTTTCTCTGATCACCTGACGCTTCAGATTCAGTGCAAATATATCAATGTCAGCTGTTGTTTTGCGTCGGTCGGTCGGTCGGTCAGTCGGTCGGTCGGTCAGTCGCTCAGCTCGGAGTCTGGGCTTTGGCAAAAATAAAGTTGCCCATAGGTCGCATCTCATTTGAACTGCTGCTCAGAGCTGCAACTTTTAGCAGAACCTGAGGAGTACCAGCATTTATACAGACGATTTGAATGTATATTTCTTCACAAAAATGAATGTAAAGTTGTGTCAGAAGTTTTTTGGGCTTTGGCAAAAAAAAAAAAAAAATCCATACATATAATAACTTACTACAGTCCAGTAGTCTATAGTACTGAATACTGCACTATCAAAAATAATAAAAGTACTCTGTTCAATGAAATATTAAACTATTCCAGGCCTTTAGGTCAGTGACGTCAGCTGACGGTAAAAAACTTTACAACAAAAACCCAACATTTTATTCTTTCAGAAAATATTTCCATAAATGTTTGTATAAGAAAACCTGAAGTCAAATATTTACATATACAGTACTGTAGTTTAGGATTATTACATTAGGGGTAATAAATACTATTCAATCCTAATATCACATACTTAACTTTAATTACCCCCCCTCCCACTTTTTTTACCCCCACCTCCCTCTTCAAATATAATAATGTCAACTCACCCAGGGTTCAAGTGACTCATGGCTCCTGGATCTTCACTGAGCTGCAGGTGAGAAGAGGCTGAAGTGTGTGTTCACTCCGAGGGTGTGTGTGCGCAAATGTGAAGTCTGTTACAGCTGAAGAGGAAGAAGAGGAGGAAGAAGAGGAGGAGGAAGAGGAGGAGGAAGAGGAGGAAGAAGAAGAGAGGTGGAGAGAGGACAGGACATTTGGAGCAGTTTGAGCTGAAGCTGCTGCTCTGCTCCCACAGCAGAACTGATGACACTCTGCGTTGCCATGGAAGGTCACGTGACCACGCTGCCAACGGAGCTGGTTTTCCCTTACACACACACACAAACACACACACACACACATACACAAACTAACACAGAGACCAGTATGTTTCTAAAGTCAATGGCAGTTCATAACAAATGTCCACAGAAACAACAGAAACAAAGTCTAAAAACAAAGGTTTGTGTCCAGTATCAACATCTGAAAAAAATCATAGTTCTTTGTTTTTCTTATTCTGCAAAAAAAAAAAAAAATCATTTCCTTTTCATTTAAATTAAAAGAAAAATTAAAGTATTGGTGGATATTACATACATAATTAAAGTGAGCAAATAAAAGAAAAAAAGAAAAGTATTGGTGGATATTTCATACATAATTAAAGTGAGCAAATAAAAACGGTCCGTTAGACAAAACTGACAAATAAAAATTATTCACCGTTTGTTGAACAAAACAACAACATTATCATTAATTATTATAATTATAATAATAATATATTTTTTAATTAAACCTCTGCTCATTCCAATCCTCCGTCTGACACAACGGCGTCCTCGTCAGAGTTACGACAATGACTCACGCTCTACGTCATCGTGTTTTCTGCGCCACACATCCACGTGTTTACCTCCGTGTGTCAACGAGCTACAAATTAATCAGTTACGTCCAATCACTGCTCTGACTATCGATTGTATCAGTGATCAACCACACGAGCCGTTCAACACACAATCAGAACATTATTGATCATGGGTAAAAAAAAGTCGACCGTGAACGGCTGAGGAGAACGAGCCCTCCCTCACAGGTCTTTTATTGCCCTCTAGTGGCTGTGTGAAAGAACTGTTATAACCCTGTATATTTTAACCTGACGTATTTTTGTTTGAATTCACAGCAACTGGAAGCACATTATTTATTACAATAAAAATCCTATTTTTGATTTAAAGATGAAGCATTAGTGAAAAAACAAAATAAAAAACAAAATATAAAATTAAAATATCAAACCATCTTCTTAAACACAAACAGTATTTATGACGACCATCGCCTGTTTGTTCAAGAATTAACACTTGTACAAAGTCTGAGATTCTGCAAAATCATAGTCATGGCTTTCAAGAATTAACAGATTCTGCAAAATCATAGTCATGGCTTATGACAAACAGCGCCACAGTGTGGTTTACCACCTGCACAGCTTTGACCACTGTGTGGCGTAGTAGACAGAATCCATGATCAGATCAGAGCTTCAGACTCTATAAAGAAAAACTGCAGTATTTTCCATACACACACACCTGCCCCACTCCTACCATTACACACACACACACACACTGACTACAACATAGTCAAAGTGTGTGTAAAAAAATACAACAAATAATGAAGGTTTATGGCATTGTTTTCATTAATAACAATATTAGAATAAATAAATAACTCTGTTGTTTATTGATAACAGCAAATGTAACAGTTTTTTATTGATTTGTCCAAATATATGTATTATTAAAAGTATATTGGTTTTATATAATGGTTTGTATGGTTTTAGTTTTTTTTTAACACATAATAATTCAAACATAGTTTTTTTTAACACATAATAATTCAAACAAATCCAAAAATGGAACAATACATTCCTGAGTGATGGAGAAAATTTTCTCTTGGGATTTTTTAGGATAAATACATTTTTTTAAAGGGTTTTTTTATGTAAAGGTTTGAAGGCCAATTGAAGACCATTTTATTGTTTCATTTTTTCACAAACTTTGAAAAATATGGTCTGATCCTTCTCTACAGGCTGCAGCGTGATATTGATTATTTATCATTGATTCTTTGTCTTTTCGTTTTTTTATTATTTATCTGTTAGTGAACTAAAACCAGGACATTTTCATTCCCACAAAAATGAATTATTTTTTATCATCCCAGTCACTGTGGTGATTCATTCAACCACCACCTTTTACTGCAGCTAAAGGTAAAAACTGGACATTAATGTCAGTCAGTGACCTTTGTAAAAAACACTGAGGATTCAGTGTCTGTTATCTCAGAGGAACTTCCACAGGTCGGCCATTGTTGCTTCACAATAAACACGTCAAATCAAGCAGACATTTCACCGCCACTAAATGCATAATGCACAGAGTACGAGTCGCGATAACAATTAACAGAGAAATAGATGAGGGTGTGATTATGAATTCCATTCAGGAAAGGGTCTGGCTGTATGAGCTGGGAGGTGGCAGCAAGATCTCGCGGAGCCATGGGGTTCTGAGACGGGGGAGGGAAGGGGGAAGGGGGGAAGAGGGGAGCGGGAGTTATTGCAATCAGCGTTAAATAGCACAGATTTGTGCCTGTGTGATTGTCAAGTGGGCCATTACTGGCTGATAAGAGCACTTTTTTCCTTATGTGGCTCTGATTGGGCTGAACATGCTGCTCCCTCTCACACGCCGTCCCAACGCAATCAGGCCCCTCTTTCACCGCACTGCCATTTTCACTGCTGTGATTTCAAACCCAGTCCCCCACCAGGCCCCAACCAACGCAAACCTCCCCCGCTCCAGCCCACCTTCCCACCAGCACCCCGCCTTCTGCCCCTCAGACTCAACGAGTACCCATTCACCGCAAGGAGAAAAGGTCAGGCCAAACTGGTTATGGCGATTGTAAACCACGCCAGGGTCGGACCGATTCACAGAACAAAAATCAGTATCTGCTAAGGTCTGTGTGGAAGCAGCAAATTAGGAGACCCTCCCTGCCCCCCCAGAAGAGGTCAAACGCTCGTCACCTCTTCAGAAGAGCGCCACCTTCCTTGTATCTGCCGTAACCAACTATTTGAAGTCAAGTATTTATGATGGAAGAGTTGAAGTATTTTTCTTCTTGAGTTCTGTGAGTCCTGTGTGGTATAAAAATCTAAGACAATGTGTAATATTCCTTTTTATGCTCTGCTCCTAAATGACAATAATAATAATAATAGTTCTGGGGCAAATTGGCAACAAAGTAGTTCAGTTAGTGGTTAATTCACAGCTTTAATCACTGTTTCTTTCTGTTTCACTGGACTGTGGAGAAACAATCATTCACTGAGAATTTCAGGGGTTTTTCTGTTAATTTTTTTTTTTTTTTTTTTGAGTAACCTACTGACTGATTTACAATGGAATTGTGTGAGAGTTTGGTTTTTAACCCATGAAATTTTGTTGTTTTGCCAAAAACTTCACCACAAGAAACGCAGTACAGGTGAATCACCACCAGGCTACTGAGACATTATTATTAGTAGTAGCAGTATTCTAAGTAAAATAATTAATCTTAGTATTATTAGTACTAGTATTAGTATAAGAATAAATATTAGTATTAGTATTAGTATCAGTATTGGTATCAGTATATTTCCTGCTCAGCTCCTTGACTCAGATGTGAAACAGTCAGCGTTCTGTCAGATGAGACTTTGTTTTTGTCTGGTTCACATCCCAGAAAAAAACATTTCTGAACCCATCCGTGCAGAGCTGAAACTGAAAACACGCAACTGACTCTGATACACATCTATCCCAACATCAGAGCTGGTATCACCGTCCACAGGTGCTGCGTCCACAGCCTGATAAAATCCTCAACAACGTCTACGACTCTTTGGTTAAACTCTGCCGTCC